TATATGAAGAACAGTGCCATTGTCCAGCACCAACTAAGTAAGAGTGATACATATTCATATAGAATTTGAGTCTGATTTTCAAAAAATGGTTTCTGAAGCAGTCTCATGAATCTGGGAAATTTTGATTTCTATATACTCTGAGTGATTTTATGTACTATTTTGCCAGCAGTCCATAAACATAGCAGGAGCATATAGAGGGAGACTGGTTTTCATGCATGATACTAATATGTAAGCTGCTCAATCCCATCTGCTGGCAATACTTATAAAACTCCCTATCCATGTTCTTCTTTACTATTCATACTGGGGAATCTCAACCATAATCGGAATGATAAATGATAAACCACTTTATGGGAATTCATGATAGCTCCCACAGAGAGTGTTGGCAATCCCTAAGTATTTTATTGGAGCCCACCTACATACTTGCAGAATTAATCACAAAATCCATACAACTGGAGGGTAGAAGAGATGAGTTTTATTAAGATCCTAGCCAAGTGTCAACACAATGACTGGCTCATTTTATCATGATACCATTATACAATTACATATTTGCAGCTAATAATAGTTGCATGGAAGTGTGAGATCTTGATGTAATGCATGAACAAAGACCTGTGGTTGCAGAATGCATTTGTTTTTTAATTGAAAGAGCAGATTACTTGGTGAGTGAATGTGATAACATTTTATCTTTTAAATTATCAGATTATCTGTTTTAAAAGGTTTTGAAATAACACTCTGCCTCTTAGTCAAAGTGTAAATTCAAATTGTACTTTACAAAGAAAATGTTGGGTACTCTGATATTTTCATCCACAGAAATAAAGTAACATCTTTATCAGCTTTATCTTCACATTTTCAGGCAGAATCAAATTGAACTAAATTCACCATGTGAAGTGGCTCAATCACAGAGTAACAATCAACTTAGCATTTATTCTTCTGTGCTTTCTAATTCCAAGAAGTGATTCATATGAATATGGTAGTACCACATTTATTTTACTCCTCGGAAACAAATGCTATATCTTTGGATGTGCACCATTAGCTTTAGTTTTACCACAAAGCTGCATCTCAATGAGTTCTTGGGATGTTCTTTGTGGAGCAATTAATTAAACATTTGATTGAGTCTAAAGATTGATAATGATCAAAAGGGTATCTAGTCCAAAGAGAAAACCATGTACCTATCAGTCCTTCCATATCAATGTATGTAATTTATTGTTGTAAAGAATTGAAGGATGAATATCCTCCATTCTCAGCTTTCCATTAAATCTATTAAATTTCTGTAAATTTATAAGGGGGAATATCACGTTTTTTTTTCTCTAGCTGGTGGAGGATTCAATTCTCCCAAGATGGCATGTTTTGTTGAACAATGTGGCGTGTTTGACAGGCAAACACACCAAGCCATGGAAACTCATTCTGGCATAAAGGCTAACTGACAAATAATGCACATCAGAAAAACACCACTAAGATTGATGACCCAGTATGTAAAGGTCTTTTTAGGGCAATTCTGCTTGCTGCAACTGCTCTAAGCCAGAGGTGTTTGACCTCTTTCAAACTTGGGGTTAAATTGCATTGCAGAGAAGCTAGTTGGAGCCACATTCCTGTGGTGGGTAAGGATGAATTCAAAAGGGGTGGGCCCAAAATACAAAGTATACCAGCCTATATTAGCTTTTGAATTGTATAATATATTATAGATATCCCAACTGCACTTGTTAGAAAGACTCTTAATCTGCCTCTGCACAAAATAAAGGGGAACCAACTAAAATGAAAGCTGCATCACTTCACATAGAACTCTGTCAATATTCACTAGACAATGAAAATTCCTGAAATTATCTATTTTACAAGTCTCTTGCAATGTCGTTGTGAAATGCAAGCTTGTTCAACTATATTGAATGGAACCATGTCATGCTCATTGTTCTGAATCTAGGTCACAGCCAGATGTAATTGAAAACAAATAAATGCAAATATGGTGATGATGATGATGATTCTAGTCGCTGAGCAAACAATTCTCTGTGTCTGCATCACTGGTCATTTTGTATATATCTTCTTTTTATAAATCTTATAATAAAACTGAACTGTGCATGGTGCATTTTCACATAGGTACAGAGAATTGGATAATGTGCCAATGAGCAGAAGTATAGTGCAGGAGAACATCTTGCAGATAATCTAATCTTAAATGAATTAGTTAATTTACACAAAAATGATTCCTTTGTTGCACTTTTCCAACTCACCCTGAGTTAATTAAGGTTAGACTTAAATAGAAAAAGTCAGCAAATATCTCCAAGGGCATCAGTACCATGGAAGAGATGTAAGTGCTGAGACAGAGAAAGAGAAGGAATATATTATCAAGAGAAAAGGTTAAAAGAATGCTAAAAGTTTAAAGTCTTAAGTCAGGAAAACTTAGTGAAGAAGATCAGCAATGAAGTATTCCAAGGTCAGCTTAAAATTTCAATTTAGAGCTACATACAGGAACCAAGCCCATAAATTCAGTCTTAGGACATCATCTGATGAGAATTGCTACTACACAAAATGCACTGAAATGAAGGAGAGCAAAATAGTTATAGTGCTTGGTGGGTTCTATCTGTACAGTAGACTCTACTCACACCATCTGACAGACGAACAATCATGCTTTGGTGGAACAATAAAACCAAGTTTGTAGGAAAAGACAGTGATTTAAGTTCAGTTTTTTTGTTCCAAATATAAATTCAGATTGGGTAGAAGTAAATGATACAGAGAAGTCAAAAAGGTACCAGGAAGGGCAACTTCCTGTAAAATATATGGGTATCACACTAAGTGCTATATCATTCAACTGTATTATGGGAATTAATTGAATTTACCATTTCTCCTGTTATAATAAGCCCATCCTGATGATGTTTGTGACCCCCGTGGTAAATCAGTATAATTCTTAGTAACTTGAAGTGCTCTTTATTAGTGGAGCTCATGTATCATATAATAATTGTGTTTGCTGACTTCAGCAACGTTTTGACTGCACAGATACTGCAAGTGTGGACCTATTTGGAAATGGCCATGAATGAGCAAGCATTTTGGGAATGGATAACTCTTTAGTGTTCAGGTAGGCATGCTTCCATCCTCAAGGACTGCCAAGTGTCACCAAAAGAATAGAGACAGTGTAATGATAAGAATTAGATTAGAAGTAGATCAATAGGCTTGACAATAAATAAAAGCAACACAGACGTTATTGAGCACATTAGGAGAGATAAATTAAAGTGGACAGTATATTCCAGAATGGCAGTGCTACATAAATGTTGAACCAAGTGACTTTAAAAGGATAACAACCATTAGGAACTGTAAGGGAAAATAAATAACTGACATTGCTATGATAATAAAGGAAGAGAGTGTTCACTAAGCTCTGATGAATGAGGGGGTGTTGACTGCACAAAATATATGAATTGTATTCAATTCCTTAGAATTCAGATAAGAATTTAAGATCCATCCTAGATCAGACCAAAAGATTATTTAGTCCAGTATTCTGTTGTCATAGTGGGAAAGCAGGCGCTTGTGGGAAGTACACAAGAAGGACATGAGTGTAATAGCACTCTTCTGCTTGTCTTCCTTAGCAAATGATATTCAAAGATATATTCCCTCCAATAGTGAATGTAATACATAGTTTATCATAACTACTAGCTATTAACAGCCTTCTCCTCTAAATATTACAGATATTGCAAATTTTTGTTAGAAGATCAGCAGTTCCTCATTTAAGTTCTGTAAGAATTCTCCAATGGATATTACCCAGTTCTGATTAATTGTTTATTTTCAATTTGCAAATGAGATCTAGAACTTCATACGTTGCCATTACTGCTTGCACCAGCTCCTCAGACTCCCTCCCTAAAAATGTCTGTTCAGGCAATTATCTCTGCCCTATGTCTTCTGCAGTGCAGAGAGATACAAATGAATAATTCAGCTACACTGCATTCTTCTTATCCTCTTGTAAGTCCATTGTCATCCATTGGTCCAACCACCTCCCTGGCTGGTTTTCCTGCTTAAAGAATATTTTATTGTTAATGGTATTAGCAATATGCTCTTTAAAATCATACTCTCCCCACTTTTTTGGCATTTCTTATTGTCTGCTTGTGTTCCCTTGGTTTTTGTTCTCTTTATTTGGGCAAGACTTCCAACTTTTGGAGGAAGCCTTTTTTTCTCAAGTAGCTTCCTTGTCAGTGCTAGTTCATCAATCCCTTCCTGAACATATTCTTACCTTTCCTGAACTTTTATTAATGAGGTTCTGAGTAAACCTCAAATATTTTGGGAAATAAAGATCCTCTTGACTTTCCCTTTAAACTTACTTCATAATAGAATCTCTTTTACCAGCTTGCACACATATTCACTGAATTCTAGAGCTGATTCAACCATTTGGGAGCTGCTTTCATGTGTACAGATTCCACAGCTCCCCATTAATATTTGTAAGGAAGAATCATGTTAAATAATATGAAGCAGTTTCTTCTCACTCTAGCATCATGCTCTTTTACAGATGTTGTCAAAATGCTAGGATCTAGCCATGCAGAAGTAGTTTCTCTGCTTCTCTGGTAGTGCATGCATTAGCCTTCAATGTTTACTTATGTATCCTTGCTTCCTGCATTGTATTCCAAATTGTAATTCCTGCACTGTATTCCTGTATTACAAATTCAGGAATAGTTTGTGCTCACTGCCACCTGTCTGCAGGAGGAACTGTGGAACTACCTAAAGGATCAGTATCTGGAGTAACAACAAAGCAATTTATTTTCCTTACTTTTCTTTCTACTTCCTTGGTTTGATGCTGGTAGTATGTTTAAACAGAAATACATGTGTACCCTGTCATCACCAAATTAAGAACACAAACAAGAAAACATTCAACTAACTATGCCTGTTATACATGGTTCCCTGTCCCAAAGTAACACTGAACCCTGTAACTTCTAATCAATGCTATTGCAAATATCCAAACACTTGCTTTGCATGTCTCAGCTGAATTACTAAAAATAGTTACCTTTCAACAACTCCTTTTATTATTTGTTTTCCAGCAACAGCGGCAACTTGACCTCTTGACTATAACCAACCCTGGTAAGTAAGCCACAAGGCTCAGCTCATTTTATGTTTTCTTGAAGAGATGGTTGCCTGAATGTTTTTTTCTCCCCTCCCTGACATGCAAAGTGAAAAATGCTGTTCCCCGGAAAATCTTTAACATAATAACAACTGACAGCTATATTGTGTTTGGTAAAGCCTGGGGCAGTTATCCCTTCACAGAGCTGCCTCTTCAGACCTTTACTGTGTGAATTGCTGATATTTCTTTAAGCCTCATGGGGTTACTCATATTGGTATATCTGCAGGGTAGATACACTATAATTCACAATGTATGTTCAAGTATCACAGAAACATTCCGTTTAACTCGCTGCAGTGGTACACTTAGATATTTACTAAAGAACAGAGGGATCCTTGTGTACTGTGGGAGACAGAGAATGTGCTGGTCAGCTTGGAAGAAATTATGCTTTAAAAAACTACATTAAAATAAACTGCTTCTGAAATGGTGCTTTCTGAAGAATATCCTAGTATGGTTTTTTGTTAAATACTGCTTATTTACTCTGGTGGAATTTAATCATGTCTATAATTGCTTTCATGAGCTTATTTCCTGGTTTCTGGCAAGTGCTCAAAGGGATGGAATGATCCTTTTGGAGTCACGGCTAGACTAGATGTTACACTAGCTGCATAGCCAAGCTGTTCACTGTTGTTATGGCTAAGCAAATATGTAAGACTGAGGTGTGGTTGATAAACACAACAGTTTCAACCCAAATATTGCATAATACAACTGCATATTATGACCAGGGAGCAAAAAGCTATTTTAGGTGAGCCCAAGGGTTTAAGCATGCTATATCACAAACCACTTTTGAGTGTTTCAAGAGTTGTTAGCCTTGTGCCACTTGGGGATACTGAACAATTTCTTTACATCTTGGGATCCAGCTTATGTTATTTTTTAATTCAATAATTGTATTGTTAGCTTAGACTAAGTTGCTGTTTCCAGTGGTACCATTTTCTTATAGTATAGTGCAGAAACTTAAAGGAAGTGGTGCTATGACACAGGAGTGTAGGATAATGTTATCTGCCCAGATAAACCATAAAGTTGAACATTCTTGACAGAACATGGACTATTTGAACATATATCCTTCCTTTTCCTTTTGCTAAGGTGTTCTTGAAGCTTGGATCCTATTGCTGTTCTATTGTCTTAAAATGGCAGTAGATACTTGTTTATGTGTCTAAGAACATTTAAAATATTTCTAGTGTGGTACTATAGCCTGTAGGAAGAAAGAATTCACCTTCTGTTTCAAAATCGGAGCAATATTAAACTTCACACAAAACCCTTGATTGTGCTTGTTATGCTCCAAACCCCTAACATATAAAATAATCTTAGTATCCTTAACACCCAGTGGTCTCTTTTTCCTTAAACAAATTAAACATGAAAATAATAAGATTATCCCCAGTTCTTCATTATCTTCATTATTTTGTGACTCACAAATGGATAATTTTCTAGTGTCTTTTAATTCTGCTAGAGGTGTTTTATTGTGTAAAATTATAGGTATAGTTTTAAATTGTTCCATTAATGTTTCCCTGGTTAGAAAATATGTTAATCTACATAGAGGTCGTGCATGCACATGACAGTAGACACAGATGCAATGATTTGCAGGATTGACTGAGGCTCTCTTTGCTACATACCACTGCCTAGGAAACTCTCACATAAAATTAGCTGACCAGCAAAGCTTCAAGATATGATTTGGAAAAATTTACTTAAGAACAAATTCCCTATTAAAACTCTGAAAAGCCATTCCTTTTACTTTCTTGAACATTCTGCCTGCTTCCTACTAACTGAAGTGTGAAAATAATGTGAAGTCATAGTCATGAAGCTATAATACACCTATTAGTAAAAATGATACTGGGTAATAAAATGTGACAGAAAGTTGTTCTCTGCTGAAACTCATGCTCCAACTATTCTTGATAATCCATGCTAATTAATACAACATTGACTCTGATCAAAGTACCTGTCAAGGGATCCTGGCTGAGTTTTCAAACAACCTCATATAATTACTCTCCATGTTTGTTAGTGAAAGCTTCATAGGCTGTTATATTTAAACATGAATTCCTATGTATCTTCTTCCTAATGACTGCCTTTGTTGGGTTTGTGGGAGAATTCTCTGAAAAAGATGATAGCTTAATATACTTCCCCATACACTAATTTATCTATCAGCAAAATGTAAAAGAGTAAGTCCAGATACAATGCTGTTTACACAATTCATTGGCAGTAGGATGTGGGGATTAACTACCAAGCCAAGTAGATAGTTAACACTCAGGTTGTACGTATATTTACTCAGAAGTAAATTCCAGACACTTACACTCAAGTAAGTGTGCGTAGGATAGCACACATTATTGCTTACTGGGTAATCATTGCAACCCTGGGACTAGTAATTCTTGAGAATGTGTGTCAGATAGGAAAGGACAAATCTGCCTGTACTTAATACTGCAGTTCCTAATTTAGATGCACAAACACACACTTGGTCCAGAAGCTGCTTGTTCTGCTCCAACACTACTTCTGTTTCATTCTACCAAATCTCACAAGACCTGTCTAGTAGGTTCATAGAGTCAGGGACATGTTTTCAGAAATATCCTCAGGCATTATTTTTACTAAATAAAAATCCTTTATTTGGTATCAGTGTTTATTCTCATGATGATGGGATGGCAGCCTGAGCCAGCCTTTTCTCCTGCTCCAGATCTTCTGGCTACAGTAAGGTAGACCACACACAAGCCCATCACACACACATATACACATTATTTCTTTCTGAAAGGCTTCTTTGGGGAAGATGCCCTACTTTAGGAAGATCCCAAGTTCAACCCCTGGCAACTGCAGGAAAATTTGGGTGGAAAAAAATATAGTTCTAAAATCCTAGAGAGCTGTTGCCAGTCAGTTTAGACTGAATTACTATATTATCTAAGAGAGAAAGATCACCTGAAACCAAGTTTGAAGATCAACTAGGATTGTGCTGAATATCCTTCCTTGTTGGTTTTTAGATAGAAATTACTGCTTTCAAGAGAGGGAATGATTTTTTAATATATAAAATTAACACAATGAGAATGTTACATTTTTCAATCTTATTTGCAGCTATTTTCTTGTTATCTTCTGCTGGTGCTGCACTGCTTTTCCTTATTATTGAGATTTGATTCACATGGGCAATTCCATGAGCAAATTAGGCAGTAGTCAGTATATGTAGCAATACCGTGTAACCAATTAAATATGGACACACCATTATGTCACTGAGAACAAATTAAGTCAATTCTGAGTGAGGGTAATGGTTTCTGAACACTTCTGGTATTGTACCAAAGCAGATACTTAGTAATGCAACCCAAAAATGTTCATATAAACTGTTTGCTCTTTGGCCCTAGTTTAAAAATGTTTTCCTTACAATGATCTCTGAGATTGCAGTTCACAGCAGGCATTGGTGAGAGGCCCAATCTTGGTGCACATAGAACACTAGAAAAAGAGATGAATTAAGTGTTCAGTGAACAAAGCAAGCAGGTAATTCAAGTGCTCCTAATATATCTAATTTCAACCATTCAGTCAAATGCTTCTGAACATACAAATTATTTGAGAAAGAATAGGGGTTTGGCGAATGATTGCTGTCACAGGACAACTGCTATTTGGGTTTATTTTATAATGAAAGTAGGTGAGGGTCAATCATATATGAATATTCATATTTCAACAATATAATACCAGGTTTCCACCTCACTTTTGAAATCTTCCTTTGAAAACATATGTGAACAACAAATTCTTATTCTGGAATTATAATGAGAAGAAGGCCAACAATGTCTGAAACAGCATCAAAGAAGCATGGTGATTCTGTAGAACACAGACATATTTGAAGAAGAGGGATGGAGTTCATAATATAATTTCATTTTGTACAATTGCTTAATGACAGGGTAAGGTGTCATCGGACTCTCGGCTAGTCCCAGGAGAGGCTGAAGCCTCCTCCCTGGTTCAAATCTGGAGGTCCTCACAAAATAAAGTACTTGCCACACAGAAATACTAACAGGAAACTTTATTACCTTGCATGCAAAAGGTTAATACCATTATGAGGTAATAAGAAAGAATAATGTAAGAAGCAACACTGTACAGCTTTGGCATGCCTTCTTCTTCCTGATTGGTTAACAGTTTTACTGCTAGTATGAAGCACTTCTCTTGAAAAACTTATGATGACAAAATCATTTACATCTGTCTTTTGGAACACATGGGACACTTTCATATAGTTTTGTGCTGGAACACAAGGAACATTCATATTTCTGTAAGTTTACATTTTTTGATTATCTTTCACCTTTATCAGTGAGGCCACTTTACAGCTCGTTTGTCGTTGCTGGGGCACAGCAACCATCTACATTCCATAAGATTTTCTCCCTTCAGACTCCATCTCGTTTGCTAACCCTCTCTTCAAAATTCTAGTTAATCCTAGTGACTGCAAGGACAAGAGGAATATGCTTATTAAGTGAGACATACAAGCAATGGCATAGGACAGTGTTCTTTCCTTCAAGGCCACTGGCTCCTCCCAGTCACCTCATGTGTGATACTGCAACTTGCTCTTTCATTTTGTTTTCTCTTATTGTAGTAGCTGCACACTCCCATGAGGGAACCTCTCATTTTCCATTGTTGTTTTAATTAGCAGTGGGCTGGCTGCTGTGATCTAGGTAGAAGAGCAGGGTTTGGTAGTGGGAAGACAGGAAAGCTACCACTGGTCAGCTTGGTTACAGAGGCTTTCCAGCTGGATGGAGTCAACAGCATTGCCCTTGACCAAGCAGTGGAAGAAGAGAGGTCCTCCACAGCCCAAGGAAAGCCCCTGGGTGGCCTTTGAGGTGCAGCTTGAAGCTAACAGGCTGCTGCTTGAAAATAGTGAAGATCAGCATCATAGGAAATTTTGGCAATAGCACCGAAACCCACACATAGCTTTTTTACATAGGCTATTTCAGAACTGTGCAAAGAAAGAGACCACTTACAGCTTGGTAGCAGTTTTTAAAAGTTGTTGTTGTTGTTG